TAACCTTCGCCTTTGCACGTGCACATCTGTGTGCCACAGAGGTGACCCTGACTTCTCTCCCCTACTATGGACAAGGCCAGTTTTGCCTTCATTTGCACGTTTACCTCAATACTCCTGATCTATAAATGTGTTTGTTCTTTGTGAAGGTTGTGACACCTCACAGGTTCCCTCGCTGAAGGAGTTAAATTAAATCTCTAATGCGTGCTCGTTTTATATGAAAGTCATGATGTCACCTTCTGTTAAAGAGAAACCACAGATCCAAAATGGCGTCACTTGTGGCAAAGCCCATGACACCAAACCTAGATTTAGTACCTGACCTAATTGTTGTTTCAACCTTTCCTAGAAATATAACCTTAAAATTCCAGTCAGGAGTTTTCTGGTCAAGAACCAGTAAAATAAACTGTCACATGGGCCCTCTCTACCCCCCAAAGAAGAGGCGATCTGCCTGATAAAAACCCTGGCCATTCCCTTCTTCCCCAAAGAGGATGTCTCAGTGTAAAAAGTAACCCTTTCCTTTTGCCGATGGCTCCCTTGCCCCGCACTTTTTCTCATAAAGACTCAGCACCTGCACAACACCACAGAGCCCTTTCGGTTGTTAGAGGGGGCACTGTGCAGCTCAGGAATCGCTGAATAAAGCCATTAGGTCTTCAAAGGTACTCAAGTGAATTTTGTTTTTTAGCACTTCCTCAGAAAATTACTGTATAATAAACATAGCCAAGATTTAAGATTCTTATGCTCTTTGAGCTGAGTGAGGCGGGTAGGCCAAGATGTAAAACCAGATAGATGTCCCGGCTATAATTGGGTTGAAACCAGAGACCAGTCAGTAAGCAAGTGTTCGCGTGTCTGCGCCATCAGCTGTGAAGGGGTTAGACTCGTCCTCCCAAGACCTGCCGCTTTGGCCCGTGGATTGTTTTGAGTGAAAGGCAATCAACACCCTGAGGGCTCATGCGAAATTTTCACCTCTCCCTTAAAGAATGTATTTATTTATCTTTTTTTTTGTTTGAAAGGTTTTTTTTCTCTCTGTGTGGGTTTTTTTGTTTTTTGTTTTAGATTTTGTTCTTTTCATTGAATTTATTGAGGTGACACTGGTTAACAAAATTATAGGAGTTTCAGGTGCACAGTTCTATTACACAGCATCTGTGCACTGTATTGTGTGTTCATCACCTCAAGTCCAGCCTCCTTCCATCACTGTTTATCCCCCTTATACACCCCCCACCTCCCTCACCCTTCCCCCGGCGATCACCGCACTGTTGTCTGTGCCCACAAGCTTTTCTCTTTTTTGCTCATTCCCTCCACCCACACATCTGACTCCCAATTCACTCCACCCCGACACCTGTCAGTCTGTGCTCTCTATGAGCTTGTCCCTATTTTGCTTATTAGCTCATTGTGTTCAGTAGATTCCACATGTGAGTGAGATCATGTGGTACTCATCTTTCTCTGGTGGGTTTATTTCACTCAGCATAATGCTCTCCAGTTCCATCTATGCTGTCGCAAAGGATAAGAGTTCCTCCTTCTTTTCTCTTTTATGGTTGAATAGTATTTCATGTGTGACTGTACCACAGCTTTTTTTATCCATAGTAAGAGTTTTCACCAGAAATAACGTTGTATGACCTCTCTATAGGAGAAGGCAAACACCTAATTACTGAGCATGTGTTCTTTTTTATCCTGTGAATGACCTTCCTCCCCTCGGAAGACCCAGGTGTCTAACCTTATCCTTAGCTTGGAATGTCATAGCTTCCTCATAGTCCTTTTCTGTCTCTGAACCTCTCATGCACACGGGATCTCTGACGTTAGTGTATGCAGGGTGCCCATATGTGCGTACGCCATTAAATTTGTTCATTTCCTCTTGTTGATCCGTCTTGTGTCTGTTTGATTATTAGATCATCCAAAAGAACTGAGAGAGTGGAGGAAAGTTTCTCCCTCCCCCCACAGATGCTTGTCTGTGACTGCTACATCTGACCCACGTGCCTGCTTCATATGCATTTGAGGTGGTAATCACTCCTCATTACACTCAGGGCACTCACCGCACCAGCCTTTTGACACATGCTGTGTCCCCAGCAACATTCACCCTGCCACACACGAGCATGCGAGGTCACCCTGGACCACGTTGTTCCAGGGCCCAGACTCAGTTAGTCCTCCAGGAAACACATGATGACGAACATTAGAGTGACAGCAATTTCCACATTTCCAACACATCACCCCTGGAATGTGGGTTCTTCAAGGTCAAGAGCCTTGTTTTAATCATCGTCATTTTTCTGTATGTGTGCACCTGTTGTATGCCAGGTGGATGTCAACCTTGACTATATATTTTAATCACCTGGGATTAAAAACCAAAACAAAGAAACGAATGGTTTTGTCCCAGCTCCAGAGATTTAGATGTAATTGGTCTGAAGAGTTGCCTGGGCACCAGGATTTCTAAGCGCCCCCCAGAGGATGGCAGTGTGAAATCCTGGCTGGGAGCTGGCCCCAAGGGCTCGACCATGTTTACATTTCACACTTGCTTTCACCCCAGTTGTTTCTCATTTCTCCCAACCATGGTGAAAATCTGCCTCCTCAGAGAGTTCTTTTTAGGCTCAAGAAGGTAACCCACTGCACTTTGAGTTAGTTTAACCTAATTTCTTGTCTTCTGGTATTATTACTCTTGTACTATATCTTGTTTATTTGCTGATTGCTCTTCTCTAATAGGCCCTAGTCTCTGTGGGGGCAGGGACAAGGTCTTTATCATGTTCAACAGTCGAATCTGTAAGTATTTGTAAGCATTTGTCGAATGAGTGAATAGCTTAGAACTGAAATTGTAGTTTATTATTATTATCATTGTTATTAGTTATTTTAACCTTTGTTTTGCCAATGAGGAAACTGAGGCCAAAGAGGTTACAGCCCCTGATCAGGATCTCACAGGATGCAAGGCTGGGTCTGCCTGACTTGGAGCAAGCACTCTGAACAAGCCACTGGTCTGCTCTCCTTCCACAGTGATGCTGTGGGCAGTATTGAGTGGTTGGGAGGAAGTGGTTAATGGGATGGGAGGGCCTTGGCAAAGATGGAGAAGAAATGGCGCTGGACGGCAGGCTTGCAGTCCCCTTTCTATTTCCCAATGAGGCCCCAGCGATACCTGTGTTGGCAAGCACTTCCCCCACCCACCACCAATGCATTCACGAGTACAGCCACGTGGACATCTCTCAAACTGCTGTGGGATCAGCCTCAGGAGAATTGAGTTCTAGCTGTACTACTGTACATGACTTGGCCAGTCCTCTTCTTGGGGCCTCAAATTGCACTTGTATATAATGAGGTGGTGCTAGCTGAAAGAGGGAATCCCTTATCAAATATTTAAAAAGCATATTAAAAGATCAGGTAGCCCTGGCTGGTGTGGCTCAGTGGATTGAGTGCCAGCCTGTGAACCGAAAAGTCGCAGGTTGTGGGGGAGCTTTGTCTGCAGAGTCTGCTGTCAGCTGCTGATGAGAATAAATCTACCAAGACACGATCTGCTTGGGGAGGAAAGGTGGCTGATCTCTGGAAGGAGAAGGACCAAGAGGTTTTTCCTCAGTAGGCTTTTATTGGGTTCATTTTGCCCAGGAAGAGAGGTAAAGCTCATTAATCATTGTCAGGCAGTAAGGATCAAACAATAGATAACATATAAAGAACTCTGAGGGCCTATCCTGAATTAGGGTCTGTTAGCTAAAGGGCTACAAATCTTTGGGAAACAAACTCATTTCCTGCTCAGACCCTTATCATGTAATTGAGAACATTCTTAGCAAAGCAGGTTTCACAGCATTTTATATATTCTTCCTCAGGCCTGATCACCTGGGGAGCCCGCCATTCCCAGCACTGGGCTGCACCACCCTCTATCATGGTTTCAGGCCTAAGTCAGGCAGGGGAAGTAACACAGCCAAGAGATTAGGAGACTTCTCCCAGACATAATGAGGACTCAGGCTCTGTCTAAGCCAAGGGGTGAAGGTCCATCAACCCAAGTCCTTCCCTGGGGCCCCCCATGATCATGCCTGTTTTAGGTTATTCCTCTCTTGAAGAATCTTATTTGTCATTGGCTAACCGATCAAGCATTGGGGTCTAGGCAAGGTGAAGTAAAAGGAACAGAGGTGGTGCCCCTGCCAGGGAGATAAGCTTTGTCTCCTTAGTGGCTAAAGGTCTGAAGGTCTCACACTCAGCCTTAGCCAAGGCGAGGGTGGGGGGGGTGGGGATGGTGGGTTACAGCTTCTGAAACCAGGCAAGGTGGTTCCCAACAGCCGGTTTGATTCCCCATCAGGGCACATGCCTGGGTTGCAGGCCAGGTCCCAGGTTGGCGGCGTGTAGGGGCAACTGATGGATGTATCTCTGGCACATCGATGTTTCTCTTCCTTTCTTTCTCTCCCTCTTCCCATCTCTCTAAAAAATGAATAAAATATTATTTAAAAATCAGGTAAGGTCTGGAGCTTAGCTGATACCAATGTACTAATGCCAGTTTTCCGGTTTTATAAAAACACTCCATCTTATTGTTAATGATAGGGGAAACGGATAGCTAGCTGTGTACTATTTTTGCAACTTTTCTGTAAATCTAAAATTAATTGAAAAATGTTTAAGATGATTAGATAAGTTTCATACACCCATTTATTCAACAAAGATTGGTTGTCTTTCAGTTACTGTCAGGCACTGAGTTTGCATCAGTAACTGGAAGTCATAGTCTCATCCTTTGTGGGGTTTGCAATCTAATTAATTGCTTCTTTTTAAAGAAGCAATAGGAGTATTACAAAATTACAAAATGTAGTACTTTAACAAAATCTTGTTTGATGAAAAACAAATGATCTTCCTGCTTTGACTGTCACGGCGTGAGCTCGGAAACAGCAGCTACGCCCCGCCCCTCCCTCCCGCTCCGGCCCCGCCCCTCCCTCCCGCTCCGGCCCCGCCCCTCCCTCCCGCTTCGGCCCCGCCCCTCCTCGCTTGGCCTTGGGTCCTTCCTTTCCAGCCTCCCTCTCCGCCTGTCAGTTCCGCCCAGTTCCTGCATTCAGCTGGGCCTCTTTCCTTTTTTGGCTCGACCTTCGCTCCTCGGAGCTTGGGGGCTTGACACCCACGCAGAGGAAAGACGCTCTTGGAGGAACCTCTAAGGTGCGGAGTTGGGAAAGATTTGTTCCAGCTCAAGCCCTTGAAATACCAGATCCCAGCGGGTTGGGATGAATCTGAAAGTGGCCACGCTTAGCTTTGCGAAACAATGCACAGCTTTGCATAACCAACTCTGAGAGGCATTTAAAGGCGTCGCTGCAGCCCCAGACGCTGTAGTCATCTTTGCACAGACCTACTTTTGCAATGATTCCCAGGATGCAGGCTCCCATCCTGATCGCCCTGGGCTTGCTTCTCGCTGGACCTGGGGCCCTTGCAAAGGTCTTAGCGAAACCGGTGAGTGCGGCTCTTTTAGGAGGCTGTTTCCACTGTCGTGGCCGGGTGGACTGGAATGGGCTATGGACCTGGTAGCTAATCCCGTCCCTAGAATTCCTTCTCTGCCGCGGAGCCTCTCTAAGGGTTTGTGGGAGAATAAGAAGCTTTCTTCTGCCCTTCTAAGTTTTGTCTGTTGATAGGTGCCAGGTTAATGAGAGAAAATAACCAAATTTAATTACATACACATGCAGGTAGGTAACATGCCACAGTAGCACATCTTGGGGAGGCCTGTTCTGAATTCCTTCACCTATCTGTACAGTGAGGGTGGGCTGTAAGACCTTGCTCAGCTCCAGGCGTCTTCAGAAGGTTTAATTTCACTTGCTTATGTACTCTCCTGCCCTCTTTCCAATGTCTGAGTGAAATTTTGCCAACCTGGAAGATTTAGACACTGCTCCCAGGCCCAGAGACTCAGCCCTGTTTACCTGTCCACCCTTTCTCCCACGAAGAGGCCTGGCACCCATCCCTTCTCCTCTGACCTGCTCTGGGGCTTGGCTTGTCCTGTTGGGGGGTGGGTTTGAGAGCCCCCCCCCCCCCAAGCCTGAAGGTCCAGGCTTGTGCCTCTGCTTGACAAAGATTTAGCCCTAGCCCTGGTTGTGAGCCACGGAGAGGCTCTGACTTCTGAGCTTGTTTTTTTCACTTCTTGCTCACCCCAAGCTTCAGACCCTTGGGGAAAGGAAGTTCTGTCTTTCTGACACCCAGAGAAGCCTAGTTTCACTGGCCCTTTGGTGCATAGCTGTGGGCAAGACGCTCACTATTGCTGGCAGCAGCTAAAGAGAGAGGCCTAGCAGACATCCCCTTCTTCTAAACACCTTGGAAATATTTCTCTGAGAGTAGAAATGTCGTGGTGTTTGGGGAAAGTGGGATAGGATAGGACTGAGCGCTGGGAAGCTTGGCTTCTGATCCTGTCTCTGTCTCTAATCCATGGGCATAACCTTGGGGCTCCTTGAGCTTTGCTTACTCTCTTCATCTGTGAAATGGGCATGATATCAACTTGTCTTGCTTGTGGGTTGTGGGTGAAGGGAAATGCTCTAAAATCTTAGATAAAGTGATATAAGCCATTGGACTCGGCCTCACCCTGCCACGGGGGCAAGGAGTCTGTTGAATGAAGGAGCGGGATCTTTGGGCGTATTCTCCCAGAGGATTCACACTTTGTCCACGAGTGTAGGGTGAGAACGTTTCTCTTGGCCCCAGTCTGACCGCTATGAGGTGGAGTTCAGCTAAGGCTTGAGCTTGCCCTACATCCCCATTCTACATGTTTTGGCTATAGATGCTATTCCAGACCATTCCAAAGGGTTCTTAGATTGACAGTTTTGGGGGGGGGGGCTTGAGACATCATAGAGTGCACCCACTACACCAGGCCCATAGAGAAGGATAGGGGACTCATTCAAGATTACACAGCCAAGTGGCCATCTCAATCTTTATCCGCCACCGTGCAGGACTTCTCTGGGATCATGGGATTCAAAGTCCTGACCCCGAGATCACAGGCCAGATGAAGGCTGTGAGTGTTCTCAGCATCCCGAGCACTGAGTCCCCGGTCCTCCTCTAGCATTAACCAGTCTTGGGATGCCGTGTTAGGTACCAGGGTAGAGTGCTTGGCCCCATGCTGGGGACAGACTCTGTGATCCTCCACAATGACTGCCATTTATTGTGCACACACTGTGTGCTATGTGTTAAGCCACGTGCTTTTTTTCCTCATAAACGTTTTTTTTTTGGAAAATAATTTTAGATTAACAGAGAACTTGCACGGAGATACCACCTACTCCTCACCCTGTTTCCCCAATGTTAACATCTTATTTACCACAGTGCCCTTGTCAAAACTGAGAGGCCGACATCGCTACGTTACCATTCATGAAACACTAGACTTTTTATTTGGATTTCACCAGCTTTTCTGTGAATGGCCTCTTTGTGTTTCAGGATTCAATCCAGTGACCACATTGCGTTTGTTGTCACATCTCTCCGTCCCCTCTGGGCTGTGTGATACTTTTTCAGTCTTGTTTTCATGGGCTTGACAGTTTTGAAGAGTTGTGGCCTATGCTTTCTGTGTACAGACTTCTCCCTCTCCCAGTAGCCCAGTAGCCCAGTGAGAGGATATAAGTATGCATTTGATAGATGAGGAAATCAAACTCTAAGAGGGATTCATTTAGCCATGGTCTCAGCTAGTGAGAGTGGCTGGTGTCTGATTCGAACCCAGGTCTGCGGTCTGTAGCCATATTTCTGCCTCCAGAGCTGTGCCTTTCCCCTCTGGCCTACGTTGTCCCATGGTGACTCTTCCCACATATTGGGATGGCAAATACCTGCGGCCAGGCCTGGCCCTTGGTGGGCATTGCTAATTCATCATACCTGCTTTTCTGGATGAGGCTGACTCAGCTGCAGAATTAATTGCCACTGAAGCCTCTAGTCAGGCATCTGGAAACCACCTTGTTGTGTCTCCCCGAGGGCCTGGGAGAAGGAGAAGAAAGGGGATTCTTCAGCTCTGACGGCATTCTGGACAATTCTTCCAACCTGGGATCAGTCCTCAATGTCAGTCAGGTTGCCCTAGAATCTGTGAAAGCAGCCCCTGAAAACGGCTAGTCCTCCTGCATACCTTCTGGCCTGACTCTATTTTTTTTTTTTTTAAAGATTTTCTTTATTTATCTTTAGAGGGGAAGGGAAGGAGAGAGGGAGAGAAATATCAATGTATGGTTGCCTCTTGTGCGTCCCCTTCTGGGAACTGGCCTGCAACCCAGGCATGTGCCCTGACTGGGAATTAAGCTGCAATCCTTTGGTTCACAGGCCTGAGCTCAATCCACTGAGCTACACCAGCCAGGGCTAGCCTGACTCTTAATTCCAGGCACTTTTTCAGGTGACAGTGGTCGTGTAACTGTTCTCCCCACTTCCACCTTGTTCCTCTCCAAGCTGGTCTCAACCATTAAACAGCATGTCACTCTCCTGCAAGGGGGCTCTATTGCACTTATAGAAAATTTAGCCTTCTGATTATGACCTGTGAGGTCCTGTGTGAAATGATCCTGCCACCCCATTGATCTCATCTGGGTTCCTTGTCCACTGCATGTAGCCCATTGGCTTTCTTGTAGTGCTGGAGCAGCTAAGCTGCTTTCTACCACAGGGCCTTTGCACATGTGCCCTCTGCCTGGACATTCCTTCTCTCTGTACTTACACATTCGACTCCTCATCCTGCAGGAGTCCAGCTTAAGTATCACTTCCTCATCACCCTATTTAAGTAAGTCCTTTGTTACTCTCCACCTTACCTTTTGTTTCACTATGGCACTCAGAAATCATAGTGGGCAATGGATACATTAGACTAAGCTCTAAAGACAGGGCAGGAACATTTCTAATTGTTTACCACTATTAACACAGCACTGAGGTCAGAGTCTGTGGTCGTTGCTCCACTCATTTTTTGAGTGCGAAGGATGCATTTATTGGCTTTTACCCTGTAAAAGGGGCCCTGGGGAATACAGGGATGAATCAGACCCTGTCCTGCCTTTCTTAGTTATGGCACAGTGTTTCATCGCAAGCGACAGAAACCCATTCCAAAAAATTCAAGTAAAGGTGAGTTTACTCCAGGTACATGAGGAATCTCATGGAACTAGAGGCAAGAGTTGGAGGCTGGGATGGCTCGTGTCTGTCGTTCAGTGAGCCAGCTCACACTTTGGGCATGACTTCGTGTTATGAGCATTACATACATGCTCTCGCCCTTGCAACAGCCCCGAGAGGAAAGTATAAATGCCTCCACCTAAAAGATGTGGAAATTGGGACTCGAGAGGAAGCTGCCTGTATCATCACATGCTCTGGTGGCTGAGCTAGGATTTCAGCCCGTGTCGTCGGACTAAAGCCTTGATTTACCCCATATCTCACTCCACAGCCATGCCCCTCACTGCCTGTTTTGATAGGGGAGAGGTGGAGGTAGATGACTACATTCGTTCTCTTTTCCACAGACTTAATTCTCGTCCCCTTGTCTTAGCCATGGGCCACGGGCCTCAAGTTCTAGCCCCATCCCAAAGCTGCGGGGCCAGTAACAATGCAAAGCCCAAGGTCCTCTGAGTGACTTTGCTTCCGTCTCAATTCCCAAATCAGAGGCAGAGAGAATCTGTCACCTAACCAGATTGGGTTAGGTGTTCCTTTTTGGCCCAGTTGGCTGTGGGTGTGTTGATGATGGGGATCGGCTTGGGGGTGTGGGAGTAGTAGGTTTTCTTTCTAAGTTGGGTTGTGCATGGTAGGCGGGTTGTAAGTTTCTCAGAGGGGGCTGGGAAAGGTGTGAGGGGGTGGGCAGAAAGTGGGCATGGCGTGTGGGAAGTTTGAAAGATCACAGACAAGAAGGGAACCATGGGAGCAGGGCGTCAGTGGCCATGTGTAGTTGGACAAGATGGTGGAGTCAGGAGACCTCTGGGCGATGTGAAGGAGGAAGAGAAGTGGCTCTGCAGAGGGGAGGAGGGTGACTCAGACGGAGACAGGGCCGAGCAATGGGATGGGGGAGAGAAAGCACTGGTTAGGATTGGGGAGCTTCATTCATTCAACAAGGACTGTTTCTGAACAAGTGGCTCCCTGGGGGCTGTTTCCTGTGTGTCCTATTCCCTTTCTGGGTTGACCGCACACCCTTCGAGGGTAACGTTTTGGATGTTATGCTTCCCCCTGCATTTTGTGTTTCCTGTTGTCCCTGGGCCTGCACTGGAGTGGGGGAGTGGGGTGTGTGACGGCAATAAGGTCCAGGGCTCGGACTGCAAAGGGAAACCCTCCAGGAGCTTCTCTCTGAGGAGACCCCAAGACTGGCTGGAGAGGAGCGGGGAGCACCGAGGTGGGCGATCAGAGCAGTCTCCTGTTTGAGCGTTTGAGCATCGGTAACACTGAGTTTCAGTTCCTCCTGCAGCACGAATCGCTTCAGGGGCTGGTGTACTGTGCTTTACAGTTTGGCACACTTTGGGGGCTTATGTATTTTGAGCCTTTACTTCAAGTCCTGCCTATGAAGTGGTAAAACAAGTGTCACTGCAGGTCTTCCGATGCTCAGTTACAGGTGAAGCTCGGAGAGGGAAGCTACCTTGCCCACGGTCATTTCTGCTGATTCTTCTAACGGGTGAGATTTCCTCTGGCCAACTTTTCTTTTCTTGCTGCTGTGATTATTCCTAGGCATTCCGGATCAGTAGCTTTTCCTGGGAGAACTGTGACGGGGGGAAGGACCCTGTGCTGATCAAAAGCCTGACGGTGGACCCTAGCCCCATTGTGGATCCGGGGAATGTGACTGTCAGTGCCGAGACCCTGACGAGTGTTACCCTCAGTTCTCCCCTGAAGGTGAGCCTGGGGGTGGATGGGATCAGTTGGGAGCTTGAGGGAAGGGGCCGAGGGCCAGCTGACAATCTTGGTGTCATGATGCTGGAGATGGGAAGGAATCCCTTATCAGCCCCAGCAACTTCCAGCTTTCACGAATGACCGTGTCCTCACACCTGGCAGGAGAGCTCCGCCTCTCGGCCAGGACGGCGCATGCTCACTGTCATTTGACAGCTCTGGTTGGGCATTTTGGTCTTGGTGGTGGTGCCGTTAATTAGAAAACAGACACATCAATTAGCAAGTGATATGTGGTCAACTTTAGAGAATTCAAATGGTCAAAATGGGGTTGGGGGGAGAAATGGCCTGAAATCTCACTACCTCATGAGAAGAGGCATTTTCAACGTTTTGGAATAATCCCTCACATAATCACATATAATGTTAACTTTAATAGATATATATGTGAAAATAAGCAGTGCTCCTTGTAAGTGTCCTCCTGTAATCTAACTCTGTATGAGATAGTCCTTGGAAGCTGTTTAAATGTCCTGTCAGAATTTTTTCCACATTTGTAAATATATATATATGGGATTATAGGACATGTGCTATTAAACTTGCCCCCCCTTTGCATTATACTATATGTTCCATATCTCTTTCCACGGCATTTGGCTTAGACCTGCCTAATCATTTTTAAATGGCAGAAATATTGTTACAGATTTGTCTTAATTTACTTAACAGATCTAATGTCAGGTATTTAGTTTGTTTCCAGGGCCATTTTTTGGTTTGTTTTGTTTTCTGTTATAAACACCTTTGCAGAGATTATTCCTGAGAAGCCCCTTTCTCTGCTTTTCTGGTCGTGTGGACGCGGATGTTTAGGTCTTTTAATGCACATCGACGAACTGCCTCCAAACGTTCGAGCCCAGTTGTCCTCTCACCAGACACGGGTTTGGCTCTTTCCACACGTTTGCTGACATTGAGCATTTTGTAAAATCCCTTCCAGTCTTGTATACCGCCCCGAAGGAGGTTCAAGTTCCTTTCATAAGTTTCTCTGCATTTTGTAGTCACACTTTGGGAAAGTCTAGGAGGCAGTGCGCGAGTTAGCCAATTAGCAGTCAGATAATGACAAACGCACTTCAGCTGGCATTAGCTTCAGCCCGTGGGCAATGGTGACTGCCTAAAGAATTCTAAGGTTGTGATTCAGAGAAGGAGAAAAAACCACATTTGATTATTCAGATCTGTCATGGGCTCAGGAAAGAGTAATATTGGGGCACATGCCACAATACTGTCATTTCTGGTTCGGATATCTCTAAGATCCCAAACAATTTAAATCTCTGTGACTGAAATGACCTTTTAAAGAGGCGCAGGAGCTACTACTATGGTTGCCTTGGAACCGACACTTTTTCAAACTCTTCCCACCAGGTGGACCTGACTGTGCAGAAGGAAATGGCGGGCTTGTGGGTCAAAGTCCCGTGTGTGGACCAGATTGGCAGCTGCACCTATGAAGACATCTGTGACATACTTGACATCTTCCTTCCCCCTGGAGAGCCCTGCCCGGAGCCCCTGCATGCCTATGGGCTTCCCTGCCACTGTCCCTTCAAACAAGTAAGTACTCAGGGAGGGAGAGAGAGCATTAGACTGGAGTAAAGATGGGTTCAGAGAGAAAGAACCTTGCATTCTCCTCTTGCAGATCTGGGTGTCCGAGTATGGATGTAAATTGGTGTGATCTTTCCTAAATGGCTTATCTTTAGAGAGCCTCAGTTTATCCATCTGTGAAATGGGAGACTTGAAGTTTGATGTGACCTTCAGTACCTTTTAGCTGTGCTTTCAGTGCTGTCTCTAACCTCCTGTGGCTCTTAGGAGAATCGGAGGGGGGATAGTTCATGCTAGAGGGGGCTCCAGGAGAGAGTCTCATTGATAGGCTCCCACTGACCTGCGATCCACTGGCTTTTCCACAGGGCAAATACTCACTGCCCAAGAGTGTTTTCACCCTACCCCACCTGGACCTGCCTGGCTTGCTCAGTACCGGAAACTACCGCATCCAGAACATCCTAAGCAGCGGTGAGAAACGTCTGGGCTGTTTCAAGATGAATGTCTCTCTAGAGGCCTTATAATGTGGCACCAGCTGCAGAAGAATGAAGGGATGTGAGGAAGGTGTCCCCCTTCCTCTGTCTTGTGTTCGTCAAGGCCAAATTCTGATTTTCTGTCCCCCTTCAAGCCCCTTCCCACAGTGGTGTACTACCCTCACTGAAAATCATTTTGTGCCACTTACATTTTAGGTGTGAGCAAGCAGCCTGAACCTAACGTAGCGAGAGCCTGGTGGTTCTTGACAGCTCAGGACATCTACTGGGCTGGCCACTTCCTTTTCCTCCTCACCGCTGAGGCTTTCTGTCGCATAGCTTAACTCATCTTCTAAACGGTCCAGAAATAGGACAAACATGTTTTGTGACGCCATGTTCAGACTAACCCAGTCTTCCTTTCCTGAAGTAACTTTATGGTTTTCTCATTAAAAGTTTGTCGTTAACTTAAAGGCAGAGTGAGAGTATTAACAGTTTTCATTTTACTCCAACCCGTTCATGCAATGAAGGGCCTGAGGTGTATTTCCCTGTTAACATCTAGAATTAGTTTAGGTAGTCTTTTCTAGATTTGCCTAATTAGCAGTGGGGCATAGTACTCCTGGAGAGAAAGGGTGTGGGTGGGTGAGGGGCTTCCTTGGGAAAGAGATTTAAGGCTGCTGTACGTATTTGGGATAGTTTACAAACCCAGGCACCCACAGGGCCAAGCAGGAGACATAACGTAGTGACGAGGGCCACAGGGAACAGATGTGTCTTCCCTTCTCATAACAGCACATGCGCACTGATGTGAGACATCTGATGTGCAGTCTCAGGTGGGGATGCAGTCGGGGATGATGGACCTGGGAGAGGTGGAAAGGGCACTTGTTGCTAATGGGGCCTCTGCTTTCCAGATACAGCCAGTGTCTCATGAGAACATTGTAGGTCCGGTTTGCCAAATGTTCTCAATTTCTTTTACCATAGAGAAGCTGGCAATCAAGACTTTTATATGAAATCTTAACAATGTTTAAGCATTGGCAAGCAATTATTTTTTTAAACACTGTGCAGGGGCCAAACAGACTTTTCAGCAGGGAAGTTTGGCTCAGGGTGGCCAATTTATGGCCTCTATTATAAGAACACGCATGCTTTGTCATTTTGGTCTTGAGACATTTCTTCTGGTGCTGGTTTTCCCTGCTTAGGGCCAGATCCATAGTGTCTGACCCAAGCAGGAGGCCCTCCCAGTGCTCGGGAAGGTCAAGGCAGCCTCTCGGAGCCGTGAGCGCCGTCAGGGTGAAGGTGGCAGATGCTGAGAGTTGGATCCACTAGCAACTGCTCTGGAGCAGGGATCCAATGAAGAGAGGTGGACCCAAGTCAGGTCCTGTGTTTGTCCATTGTCCTGTTCTACGTGACACCTTACAGACCCCCGCACCAGTCCTGAATTCTGCATTTGAAGCCAGAATGGTAATATGGGCATGTGCTGCTTAATGACAAGGAACTGTGTCATTAGGCCATTTTGTCATTGTGTGCGCACCGTGGAGTATAGTTACACAGCCCTGGGTGGTGTGTGTAGCCTGCTGCACAGCTAGGCTACATGTGGCAGCCCATTGCTCCTGAGTCACAAGCCTGCATAGCATGTTACTGTGCTGAATACTGCAGGCAGTTACAACAAGTGACAACTTGTGTGTTAAACATAGAAAAGATACAGTAAAAATACTCATGTTCGTGGGAATGCATTGCACTAGGACCTTTTGATGGCTATGCTGTCCATAGGCAAAAGGAATTTCAGCTTCACTATAATCTTCTGGGACATCCTTCATATATATGGTCTGTCATTGACTGAAACATTATTATATGGTATATTGCTATAAATCTTTTTAACTTGTTAACAGTTCCTCCTTTGTATTGGCTGTATATATATTTTTATTGATCACACCCCAGAATTTCAGGATTTTGGTCTGAGGCTTTAACTTTCTTGTAATGTCTTTGTATAATTTGGGTTCATATGTTGCTTATAATCTACTTTTTTCCGCTGATAAGCCACAGATATATTTGCATATCTGTAGGTGCATTTTTGCAATGTTTGAGGGCATCATACAGCATTTTATTCTGGATGAGTCACAATTTAACCTAATGTTGTCTGTTTCTGACTTTTTACTGTTATAAAGAACACAAACTCCTTTTGCATACATTTTTGCGAACATGAAAGATTCTTAGGATGAATTCTTAAAAGTGAAATTAATGGGTCAGAGGCCAACACATTTTAAGATTTATGTATTGTAAAATTGTCCTTCAGAAAAACTATAACAATGTATAATCCTATCTGCAGAGTGTAAGATTGCTTTTCAAAACCCTTCCCCAAACTAAGTATTATTTTAAAAAGCAGGTCAGTAGGTCTTGCACATGACGAAATTCCTTTCCGTCCTACAAACTTCTCAGCCCTTCCAGCCTAAATCAGTTCTGAATGGCTTTAAGATAGATGGATAGATGATAGATAGATGATAGATAGATAGATAGATAATGTCCTTCTAGGTAGCAAAGTCACCATAATGGTGAAAGATCACCAGGAGATTTGACTTTATCCCTAACTGACTCCTGGTGCACCCCTATCTCTAGGGCAACAGGGTACCTTGCTGATGAAAAACCAATTTTCACACATGTGGTTAAAGAATAATTTTTTTCACTTTCAGAATGGCAGAACAAGAAAAGCCCTTTATAACCATTTAGTCCAGTTCTTCATTTCCTAGACAGGAAAACTGAGACAGAGAGAGGGAGGAACTTGCCCAGGGTCCCATGGGAAATAAGTAGCGGAGCCAATGGCTGGACAAAATGACTGCCAAGCTCTGTTTAAGCAGTCTGTGAGCATTCTGCACAGAGGGCTGTCTCTTCCCCAGCGTATGCTTTTCTAAAGCTGATGCTTTCAGGGAAGCTCCAACCCAATAGAGGAAACGATTGCTTTTCCTTTCACAAGTATGCGTGGCTTCTGTTCGCATGGGTATCACAGGCAAATGGCACACCTTATCCCATTAAATGAGGCTGATGACATGAATAGTTAATAGCAGTTTTGGTTAAGAGGTACAAAAGACCTCCAAAAACACCCCCCCAAAAAAGGGCACAGCCTGAGAGGTATCCATACCCACATGCACAATTTACATTTCTCTTGGGAGGATAAAGAAGCCACTCATTAATATAGAGATGCTGGGGTTTGATCAATATACATATCATCCACAATAGAAGCCAAACTGGGAGTGGGAGGAAGGAGGGCTATTCGAATAAAAATGGGAAATGATGTGCATAGACACCGGTGGAGTTGGCTATGGAGTGTTTGGTGGGTTGGGTCAGCCCATAGAGGGCTTGGTATATTCCAAATATGCACCCCAAAAGGCCCAGGGTGCTGATCATGATGTCCTTCGCGATGGTGACAAAGCTCATGTTTTCAGGGTAAAAAGTGGTGATCTCCAGGAGGGGCGGGATGATGAGTGCCAGGGCGCTGCTGCTCAGGGAGCCCACCAGGGCGAGGACCAGGTCCAGGCGGGGGATGACGATGGCTGAGACACCTGTGGGGGGGGGAGCAATTTAGTCATCAAATGTTCCTGCAGGAAGGGAGCGCAGAGACAAGACATTTCTTTGGAGCCTGTAATTCCAGAGGCGCCCGATGAGCCATTTTAAAGAGCAGGAAGGAGCCCACTGCAGACCTGGGCAGTGGCTCCCGCACGGCGGCTCTGGACTCCCACCTCCATTTTAACAACCAATACAGGTGCTCTCCTTTTATGTTTTATTTTATTGGGTTTCTCACATTTCGTGTTTATTGGAAAGGCCCTCCTCTGCCTGTCTATTACAACCGCACTGTAAAGGTGGGGAAACCCAGATCTCTTGAGGGAACTGAATGTGCCCACGGTCACACAGCCGAGACGAAGCCACAGAAGTGCCCAATCCGAGGCCCTTCCCACCCCCGCGCTGCCTCCCATTTACGAGAAAGAACTCCGTGCGCCATAAACACTCAGCAAATGCCTGACTCTTACCCAGGCACCAAATCTACGGTGAATTTGTACTAATCTACACAATATAAACACTGTCTAGAAGCAAGGATATAAAAAATGAGAGATGGCTCGTTGCTGTCAGAATCTTGATCCCTTGCTTTCACATCCTTAAAGGGACCTGGATAATTAAGAAGGACAGAAAACATGAAGACAGCATTAGGCCGCTCACTGGCCATCTTTCCTAGAAACATACCTCTGTCTTTGAATGAATAAATATGCAACTTATTCCGCTTTTACAGCCATCTAATTTTCTTATGAACAAATTAGGGAAAATCTGCCCTAGAAAGCACCTTTGCTAGTTTGCAGATCTTGAAGAAAATATCACCGCTTTATGAAATTGCTCCAACATATCCACTCAGAGACAGAGAGGCTCAGACTCTCGAGGCTGAGAATCCCTCTGATGGGGCGGTTCCCACCCACAGCTTTCCTCCACCAGGTGTTTCATAAATTGCTTAAGGAGGTACGGAGAAAAATCAGCGTCTTTATAAGAGGGCTCACAGTGACAGGCAGGGAAGACGGGTTCAAGGAAGTTCTAAATCAAGGTAGAGTGGAAGGGCGCCCCGGAGGAGTGAGATCCAATCATGTAAACCCATTGCTCGGAGCCCTGCCATGGTTCTCCATGCCTGATCTGCTTGGGCCCTGCAAGTTCTCTGGCTCCATGTTTTCTCATTCCCACTGCTGCTGGTTTCCCAAAGAGGCCAGGTGTAAATACCTGACTCAGGTCTGTGCAGGGCTTGCTCCCTGCTCACGGTACACGCCTCACTCCTCCATCTGCCTCCTCATCTTTTCCGTCTGAACTGAGATATCACTCCAGTGGAGAGGACTCCCTGACCTGATCAAGTAAGTTATAGGATCGTCTTACGCGTCCTTAGGGCAGCCTGTTCTTATGATGTCAACCATCAGATTGCTATCGTAAGAACAGGATACTCATTTGTTATGTGCACATCTTTATGTGCTGTGGTTGTTTTCTTGCTTGTATTTCCCACTCAACTCTAAGCCTTGGGAGGGCAGGAGTCATGTCCTCATTATTTATTCTTGTGTCCCCAGTGCCTAGCACAAGGTCAAGCACATAGTAGGTGCTCAACAAATAATTGTTGAATGAAAAAAGGGTAAGGGAGTTGATAGATGAGTAGAGGAGGAGGAAGCAGTCATAAAGTATACACCAGAAGTGGGGCATGTTACTAGCTTAGCTGTGTCTAGCGATGCCTTCCCTGGGGAGTGGCCTGAACTACTCAGTTTTTCTCTTCCGCTTACACCCTTTCTCTTAGGAAGGATCTCACAACAATATATGGACAGGTTTCTGATGTCTTGGTACAGACTGGGAACTTTGTAACACCTTAAACCAAGCAGGTGTGCTGTTTCTGCGATAGAACTCCAGTTACGGGAAGTGTAGCGTCTGACGGCACATCCTGCTGGGCTGCTCTGAGATTGACACACTTTCTTCCAACTCCAAACTGATACTGGATTCTGTAACCTTTAAGACTCGATTCATTCTCTCTCTCTGTCTCTCTCTGTCTCTGTCTCTCTCTGTCTCTGTCTCTCTCTGTCTCTCTCTCTCTCTCTCTCTCACACACACACACACACACACACACACACACACACAATAACCCCACAGGTGGTTGAGGACAAATACAGAAGTTGCCCAATCCCTGGCTTCTCCAGTCAACACATCCCTAGTTCTCTCCCTCATTCCTCATGGGGCGCCTTGTCTGATCTTTTTTTATCTGGACCTTCTTTGAGAAAGAATCCCCTAGCCCTGTTCATGACGTTTCCCCAAATACCTACTATCATGCCTAATGTAGAGTGAACGACTGGCTATGTGAATGGAGAGAAGCATGAGGGAAGGAAGGAAGGAAGGAAGGAAGGAAGGAAGGAAGGAAGGAAGGAAGGAAGGAAGGAAGGAAGGAAGGAAGGAAGGAAGAGAGGGAAAGAGAGAAAATAGTGCTCCCCCAAATATCTCTGAGACCTTTACAAACCAGCCCCTTGGGGTCTTTCCCTACAGTTAAACACAACTTTATGGTGGAGGCTGGACCCTAATTTATGACAGGAAGGGATATGGCTCAATGGAAAACACAGACTTTAGCGCTATGCAGCCTGCATTCGAATCTCAGCTCTGTCACTTCGCAGCTACGTGATCTGAGCACATTACTCACTGAGCCAGTTCCCTCGATGGTAATATTCCACTCCTAGGCCATGCTGAGTGTTAGATAACATCACTGCCACGCCAGCATATGGGGAGCATGCAGGAGTGAGAATGAATGAGTGGTACTTCTTTCTCCCATAAACCAGCCACCTTCCGTGTGTAGGCAGGAGAGGTTATTGTGGTATTTACTATGTGGTAGTTCTGTTAAGCCCATTTTTTTGGTGGAAAGTTGAGGTTCGGGAGGTAAATTATCTTGTACGAACTCATGAAGGCAAACAGCAGAGCCAAGGATAGAGGGGTAGATGCCAATGTGGCTCCCAGCTACAGCTGTGGGCAATGAGTGGCCTTTTGCCCTACTCACAGGTCAGACAGACCAAGGCTGTGCGGACGGACAGGTCTGCAAACAGTGCCCAGTTCTCTGACACCTGGGAGACGACGAAGGGGACGATGATCTCGGCTGGGACGTGGAACTGGAGGGCGTAGGTGAAGAAGATGCCAATGGAGTATATCAACTTGACCGACTGGTACAGCCTGCGGACAGACAGATGGGATGTGAACTGCAACATGGCTCCTGGGCAGGGCCACGCAGCTCTCACTGCTCAGAAGCTGGTACTTGCCACTGAGAGACAGGACTGGCTGACTTTCATAGACTCCAGCTAGACCCGGCACCGGAGCCCCCTGAGAAGCTTATTAAAAGTGCATATCCCTAGAGATTTTTTTTTTACATTTTATTTATTTTTAGAAAGACGGAAATAGAGGGAGAAGGACAGGGAGAGAAACATCATTGTGTGGTTGTCTCTCGCGTGGCCCCCACCCTGGACCCAGTCCAAAACCCAGGCATGTGCCCTGCCTGGGAATCAAACCAGCAAGCCTGTGGTTCATAGCCTGTGCTCAATCCACTGAGCCACAGCAGCCAGGACTGGAGATTCTTATTTAACGGTCTGTGGCTCAGAAATCTGTGCCTTTTCTTTTAGTTTTTTTTTTTTTTTATTTAAAAAAGGTGCACCTGCAATCCCTGGCCAGGTGGCTCAGTTGCTGGAAGCATTGTTTTGTTTGCCAAGGGTTGTGGGTTCAATTCCCAGTCAGGGCACCTACCTAGGTTGTGGGTTTGACCTCTGGTTGGGGTGTGTACAGGAAGCAACTGATCAATGTTCCTCTCTGAAATTGATGTTTCTCTCTCCCTGCCTCTCTCTCTAAAAAAAAAGTCAATAAACATAGCCTCTGGTGAGGGTTAAAAAATAATAAAATAAAAAGGTATATGTGCATAGAATAAAATTCATAACACTAAAGCCATACAGTGAAAGACCTCCCTCCCACCCTTGATTCCCGGTCTCCAGACCCTCTTTCCATAGTCAATCCTTGTAATACTTTCCTTGCAGCCATTCCAGGAATAATCCACGGGTATACAAGCTTATAGGGAATGTAGGTGCACACACACACACGCACACACACACACGCGGTAGCACCCTCTACACACTGCCCAGCTCTGCTTTTGTTCATTAACTATTTCTTGGGGGTTGCTCCTTGTCAGTACACACAGATCTGGCTCCTCTGTGTAACAGCGGCTTGGTATTACAATTGCGTGGATATACTCTAGATTTTCAAGCAGTTCCCAGTTAATGGGCATGCAGATTATTCATCATCTTTTGCCAGCAAACAATGCTGCTGAGAACATCTTTGCACATATACTCTGCGCATGCAGTGTACAATCTCAGACGTAAAAATGCTGGGTAAAAGTACTTGGGATTTAACATTGTTGTAGCTATTGACACAGGGCCCATGTCTGGTCCCAGCGTGCTGGAGGGCTCGTTTCCCACGACCACGCCAAAACAGTGTGTGGACACAGGCTACTCTCTGCCACTGGGTTTTAAAAAAATTGGCATGTCTGTTATTATGAGGGAGACATAGCATTTTTTCAAATATATAAAATGCCGTTTTTGGAGATTTGTCTGTGAACTGTGTTATCGTGGCCATTTTTTTCTGGATTGTTGGTCTTTCTCATTAGGGAGGGGTATTTGTTTGTCTCTTCTTTAAGGCTGCCCTGGACAACCTCATGACCAGCCATGTTTAGAGCAGGCGTGAAGCCCCCATGGCACCCGGGGCCCACGTTTTCCCGTGGAGGCCCCTGGAAGGAGAGTGCCTTGTGCGCAGTAGCCAGTGGTGGCCCAAATCACCCAGAATAAGAACAGCCTTTGGGGATGCTGTCTGACTTATGTGAAATGAGTCACAACTTCAAAGAAATCCCATGTTTATTATCTTTTTTTAAATAGTAATTTTTTTAGATTTTATTTATTTATTTTTAGAGAGGGGGAGGGAGAAAGAGAGGGAGAGAAACATCAGTGTGTAGTTTAGTTGCCTCTCATGCATCCCCCACTGGGGACCTGGCCTGCAACCCAGGCATGTGCCCTGACTGGGAATTGAACTGGCGATCCTTTCGTTCACAGGCCGGCACTCCATCCACTGAGCCATAATAGCCAGGGCCCATGTTTATTATCCTGTCTAGTCATTACCACAACACAGTGAGGTGGATGGTTGGTGATATTTTTCTCATTTTGCAGCTGCATGCAGCCTTTGTGGGAAATGATTGCTCTACCATCCTACTCTCCCCAAAAGACCCAGGCCATGGGGACATATAACCATGACAATAGCTGACCTTCAATGAGTGCCTACTATGTGCCAGACACTTTTCTAAGCACTTCATGTGCATTAAACCGATTAATCCTCACAATCCTCCCTGAGGTAGCGTGGAAGTCATCTGGGCTCTTCAACAAATATTTCCAGTTCCTCCAAGCATGTGGTAGAATTAAATCTCCCTTCCTCTTTGACTGATGAAGTGCTAGCAAGAGACATGTGCTTTAGCAGCTTCATGGGAGAAGGTTTGGTTCCCGTGCTCTGGGCCATGGCAACCAGTAACATTTCAGGGAGTGGCTGTTCCATCAGTCTGGGACCAGACGTGGGGACGGTGCAGCCATCCCATAATGGACAGGTAGCATGAGTGTGTGTTTAAGCATTTGTATGTATTTGGCCATTGAGATTTAGGAGTGGTTTATTACTGGAGTATAACTTAGTCTATCCCGATTGATACAACGCAGCATTAGTATTGCCTTCATTTTACAGAGGATGGAAATGAGGTTTGCAAGATTGGGAAGCTCGCCCAAGGTCATATGAAAACCAGGATGCAAATCCCATTACTCAGCTTTAGAACTTGTGCTCTTAAGCACATGGCTGTACTGACTGCTTAGTCACTGTGCACCCAGTACTGCCAAAATAATGAGAATAGCTAACACTCCACAAATGCTATGTGTCAGCCCCCCAGATGTTTCCTGGTTGAATGAGTGAATGAGTGAATGACTGAATGTAAGAACTCCAGCCCAAAGTCCAACGGGGTCATAGCCACAGCAGCAGTGTAGGTCCATTTCTGGAATCGGGGGCCCGAGCAGCAGCCTACCCACAGGACCCTCAGTTATTGCTCTAGAGCTATGCTTTTTGTTGTTATTTTTTCTGTGCCCCAGACACTCCAGATCATTCCTGTTTTAGGGCCTTTGAACTGCAGAGCCAGACAGATTCAGTTTCAAGTTTTAGCTTCTCACAAACAATATGAACTGGGAAAGTTTCTTACCTCTCCAACTATCAACTTCCTCATCTATAGGTGGAATTGATAGTAAGAATGCTAACTCATGGGGCTGTTGTGAAAGTTAAACGAGACAAAGCACAGGGCCTGGATTATTAAATTTATCTGTTATTATAATGCAAACATTAGCGGTAATACTCATTGCCCGCGATAGCTCGAGGGAATGCCAGATCCTGTTGCTAAGACTCAGAGCCCATAACTCTCCCCTCCACACCCTGCGTGGCAGGGACGTACCAGCAATTGGGCAAGTTGAGAATGATGCTGGCCTGGGTGTCGGACCCAAACTTCATGTAGCCAAGTGTTCCCAGGCAGATGAAGAGGATGATGACAAGGGACATCCCCAAGTACAGAACAAAAGAAAATTTCTGTGGGCGCTTCATCTGGTTTTTGAGAGGCAGAACCTGGCAGTGAAAGAGGCAGAAGGAAAGGGATGAGAAACCTTGTGGAGAGGCAGACATCCTCTTCCTGGTGGCTCTGGTCAGGAAGGGGCCTCTCCACGTGGCCACACCCCCTTTCATTTCCCTCCTTGCTCTCTACTGGCAGGCATGTCCCCTCCTCTATCTGGGCTGATGAGTGGATCCTCACTCAGTTTTCAAAGATTAGTGTGGGGCATGGGGCAGTTGGTGCCCTGAGAATAGGTCCTGACTTTCCCTCCCACCAAGAGGAGATCATATTCTGCACTGATCATAAATACTATCACTTGCTCATCTGGGACAATGGCTGGCTTCCTTAGAGACCACTAGGGATCGTTCATTTACATGCCACATCAATCTTACCATACCGACACCTTCAAACGTGAAGATTGCTGTACCGAAGAACAGCAGGAAGGTCTTCCAGTCTGCCATCAAGGGTAGGTTGCTGGGATCTGGAATCTCCTGAGAGGAAGGAGAAGGGCGATGGCTTTGCCACGGTGTAAAAGTTGTTGCCTGGTGGAAAGCTGGGCCATGCCTGACGCCAACGGAGCCAGTGTCAGGAGCAGCCGTCAGATAGGTAGGTCTGGGCAGCCTTCTCATCTTTTGAAAAGGTACTTATTTTTTTCATGGTAAATACACATAGTATAAAATTCACAATTTTAGTTACTTTTGAGTGTACAGTTCTGTGCCATGAAGTATATTCACATTGTTTTGAGACCAACACCATCAGCCATGTCCAAAATTCTTTCATCATCCCAAACTGCTGTATGCATTAATAACTCCCCATCACCCAGCCCCTTGGTGATGACCTCTGGTCTACTTTCTGGCCCTCCAAATTTGATTATTCCAGGTAACTCATGGAGGTGAAATTATATAGTATTTGTCTTTTTGTGATGGCTTATTGCACTTACCATAATGTCTTTAGGGTTGATCCATGTTGTAGCATAGATCAGAATTTCATTCCTTTTTAAGGCTGAATAATATTTTGGTGTATGTATTTACTACATTTGTTTATTCATTCATCAGTTGATGGGCATTTGGGTTGTTTCTGCTTTTTGGCTATTGGGAGACCTCTCATCTTTACATGGGGGGAAACCAGGGAGGAAAAAGGAATTAGCTGAGGCTACTCTCCAAATTAGTGGCACAACCCGGGTAAGAATTCCAGCCTTCTGTTTTCCCATTCCCAAATGCCTCTCCTCCATTGCTTCTGTCAGACTGTGCAGTTGTTGGGAACCACTCTGTCTGGTTTCAGAAACTGTAGCTCCTCATGACTAAGGCTGAGTAAAAGACCTTGGGACCATAAGTCATTGAAAAGACAAAGCTTATCTTCCTTGTAGGGGTGCTGCCTCTGCCCCCATTCACTTCACCCTGCTTGGCCCTGGGGCAGATGACTGGTTAGCCAAAGACAGGTAAGATTCCTCAAAAGAGGGACGACCTAAGACAGGCATGGTCACAAGGTTGTGAAGGGCCCCTCAGGGAAGGATTTGAAGGGCTATAGAAAAAGGAGGTGATGAACCCTCACCCCTTGGCTTTGACATAACCTGAGTTCTCATTCTGTCTGCAAGAAGTCTCCTAATCTCTTGGCTGCCTTACTTTTTCTGCCTGACTTAAGTCTGAAAAAAATGCCTTAAGCCTGACCAGTGGTGGAGGTGAGTATGGCCCTGTGCTGGAAAGGATGGGTTCCCTGGGGCAATCAGGCCCAAGAAAGAATGCATAAAATCCTATGAAACCTACTTTGCTAATTCCCTCAATTTAAATGATAAGGGTCCAAGCATAGAATAAGTTTGTTGCCCTTTAGCTATCTGACCCTGACTCAAAATAAGCTCTCAGAGTTCTTTGAATGTTATATATTGTTTTATCATTACTGCCTGACAATGATTGATGAGCTTTACATACATGCCCTGTATTCCTATGCAAATTAGGCCCAATAAAAGCCCATTGAGGACTTTGGGCCTTCTCCTTGGAGAAATCGACCACATTTCCTCCTTAAGCAGATCTTGTCTTGGTAGACTTATTCTCATCTGCAGCAGACAGGGGACTCTGCAGGTGAAGTTCCCCGACACAGTCTATTGACTGGTACAGCAGCTATCATGGATCTGGGGAGGAAATGATTTGCCAGGATTCCTGGGGTTGGCAGAATAATGGCTCCCCAAAGATGTGCACATCCTAATCTCTGGAACCTGTGACTATGTTATGCTACAATACAAGGGAGAATCAGTGTTCAGACTGAATTAAGGTTGCTAATCAGCTGACTTTAAAATAAGGAGGTTATTCTGTGTTATCTGGGTAGGCGCAGTGTAATCATGGGGTCTTTCAAAGTGGAAGAAGGAATCAGAACAGAGAACCAGAAAGAGATGGGAGTGTGGGAAAGCCTCGACTTGACATTGTTGACTTGGGAAATGAGCTAAGGCATGTGGGTGGGGAAGCCTCTGGAGGCTGAACAAGAAAACAGACTTCCCCCACAAATCTCCAGAAAGAAACAACCCTGCTGACAACTTGATTTTAGCCCAGTGAGACCTCCAGAACTATAAGGATAAATTTGGGGTAATTTGTTACAGCAGCAATAGTAACTAATACAACCGCAAAGACTTTCAAAGAAAGGAAATCCTAATGGTGGAATTTCAGGACCTGTGATGATAGCATAGCAGGGGCTTGGGAGGCAAACTGGCATTTCTGTTTATCAGTTTCCTTGTCTGTAAATTGAGGGTAAAGGGAGCACTTCCAAAACAGTAATATTGTGAAGACAATAGTTAATAAAGAACTCAGTGTGAAGTAAATCAAATTTCCTCATCCTCCACGTGTCCCTTGTCCACCTACCACTGTTAGAATTTTCGCTGAATATTTGATCGTGGTTTATCTCCCCAAGTATGTAAAGTTAGCCTCCGTGAGAGCAGACGCCCTGTCAGTTTTGCTTATTTCTGAGTCCCTAGCCCTTTGCACAATGGTTGGCTCACAAAAGGTATTCAGTAACTGTTGAATGACCCCTTGTTATCCAGTGTGACAAAGGTGGTGATGAGGACAACTAGCTTTTATAGCTTATGGTAAAAAGGTGTTCACAGCTATTACCATAGCAGGGGCTGCTCAGAGCAGGGGGTCCCCTTCCTTACCTTCATCTGCCTGTAATGATAACCCTCCCTGGGTGTCTCAGAAACCCTGGACACCAACCCCTGTCTGTGGCAGTTTCAGGCACAGACCTGCGTGATATATTCAAAGATCAGAGCCATGCTCCCCAGGGTGGTGATGTTGGCCAGAGTCGAGAAGACGGACAGCACCTTGAGGTTCCGGATGAACACCAGCAGGACCAGGAAGGGTAGTATGGTCAGCATGTAGACTCGGATGTCCAGGATGGGGGTCAGTGCCAGGCTCTTCCTGGGCTGGCAGGTGTTGGAGGTCACGTGGGCTTCCTCCACTATCTGACCCAGAGCATAAGAAAGGGGTGCAGTTGGGGTTGCAGATTAAACACAGGAGATGCACTTAAGTTTCAATTTCAGATCATTAACAGCAACTTTGTAGTGCAGCCTGTCCCAAATACTACATAGGACATACTCCCAGTTAAAAAAATTATTTGCTGCTTATCTTCTAATTTAACTGCATGTCATAGATTTTTATTTGCCAAATCTGGTTACCCTAACATTAGTGCCTATGACTGTGACAACCAGAAACTCTTAAAATCATAAAACCTCAAGGTCAAGGGTCCTTTTGTCATCTAGCCCAATCTCCTCTTCTCTACCATAATGGTTTTCTTTCATACCTCCAAGAACAAGAGTTGATTACACAAAAATATTTTTTTGTATTTTAGATAGCCCTAAAAGGTAGAGAGTTCTGAATATTGTGCAAAATCTATCTTCTTGAATATTCTGTCTACATTAATTGTTGTGGTTCTGGCTAGTAAGCTCCCTCTACTCTGTGAAGTCAAGAGAGAGGCTAAGATGCATTTGCAATGCCTGTTAGGGATGTAATGAGGGCAAGGTTGCGCCTTGTTTGCCTTACATTTAATTAGTCATCTTCTACAGACAACTGTGAGGCACCTAAAGTAAATGTTACTAACACTTTCTGGACTAAAAAGTCTCCAGTATTTCTGATTAGCTGTGATCACAAGCCCCCCTCTCTCCATGCTGGTTACACTTCTCAGGTATTGTTTTGGCTTCTCTATGATCTTTTTAAAAAGTGATTCCCAGGACTGAGCGCACTCCCAAGAGTAGTCTGATCAGGGTGAGAAATGCAGCCATCTCCTCCCGTGATCTGAACGCTGTGCTTTTGCCAATGCAGCCCTAACAGTAGGAGGTCTGCTTTTCTGCCACTGCCCAGAATAGGCCTCCTTACCTGCTGTAAATTGTCTGCCATAAACATAAAATAAACACTGCAGAAGCCCAGCTGGGTGATGATCAGCAAGAAGCTGACAGTGTACCTGGGAAGGAAAAGGAGAGGCAGACAGAGGCGGAAACATTATTTTTAAAAAATGCATTCATTTTTATCTTTTGAAATAATGATTTCTGTCCTTTTAAATATTTGCCCACTTTTTTATATATTGAAAATATTTGAATCCAGAGAGAAAGCTGAAACACTAGTATAATTGACATCCCTATATCCTTTAACTAGATACACCAGTTGTTAACCTTTGGCCCTAACTGCATCATGTATGTATTCTATCCGCACATGCGCACACACATTTTTTCAGGACCATTTGAAAGTCAATTTTAGCTGCAATACTTCAACTCCAAATACCTCAGCATACCTCTCTTAAGACTGATCTCTGGAAAATCAGCTTCAATATACTCAAATATGTAGTCCATAGTTTTTAAATAACCCAATTCTCTCCAAAATATCTTTTGTAGCTTTTTATTTTTAAAATTTAAAAAATATTTATTTATTTATTTTTAGAAAGAAGGGAAGAGAGGGAGAAGGAGAGGGAGAGAAACATCAATGTGTGGTTGCCTCTCACATTGTCCCCCACTGGGGACCTGACCTGTAACCCAGGAATTGAACTCTTGAACCCTTGGTTCACAGGTTGGTGCTAAATGTACTTGAGCCCCACCAGCCAGGGCTATATATTTTTTGATTCAGGATCTAATTGAGGTTTGTATATCACATTAAGGCTCTGTCTCTTCAGTCTTTTTTCATGCACGGCAGCCCTGAATATGCCTTTTTCAGTTTTTCATGACATTGTTTTTCTGGGAAGAGTCCAGGCCAACTGTCATGCAGAACGTCCACCCCTGGGGACTTGTATAACTGCTTCCTCGTGATTAGATCCAGATAAGCACTTTGGCAACTACATGTGATGTTTTGTGCTGTTTCCATCACATGGGGAGCACGCGATACCCTGTGGTCCTGCTCTGAGGGGATGGCCAGACCTCCCATGGCAAGTGCACATGTCCTTCTTGTGACCCGGGGGGAGACTTGGAGATTGGGGAGCCTTGGATACCTGGGCACAAGTATCCGTTTTTAATCATGCTACCTGGGCGCAAGTATCCTATTCCCCTCAAGGGTTTTAATGTTCGTTAATGACCCTTTGCCTCAGTCAATTATTTCATCAGCAGTTGCAAGCTGGGGGTTTTCTAGTTCTATCTGTGATTTCTTCTAAATTTATCAGCTGGCATTTAAGAAAGATATATTTTTCCCTCCTAATTTTTTTTTTTTGGTATCACAATAGACTCACATTAATTGTTCTTGAATTTGTATAACAATTTTAGCCAAACAGATAATATTGCTGGGAAGAAAGATCTCAAATGCTCCCTCACATTAATTACTTTTAAACTCACTGTATCATTGTACATCAGAATCATTATTCTTTGGGGTTTTTAAACTGCCTTCAGTTTGGGGGTGCGTTCATTTTTTAAGGAACAGAAGATGCTCCTCTATTTAGATTCTAATGTTTAGATCAGTTTTTCAAAATTGGGTTGTAGTAGCAATTGCATCAGAATCATCTGAAGTTTATGCAAAATACACAGATTCCTGGCTCTCATATCAGCTTCTTGAGTCCGAAGGTGGGTAGTGTTGTGTGAGACTTCAAAATGCAGATTTTTTTTCTCTCTTTATTAGGCAGATTTTCAAACATCTTCAAAAGCAATGACAATGATTTAATGACTCCTCGTGTCCCCATGCCAGCTTCCACAATTATTAACTATTTTTCCAATCCTCTTCCATCTATCCCCTAACCCCTGTACCACACACATGTCTATTTTGTTGGAGTATTTGTAGTAAACTACAGACCTCATGGTACTTCACCTGTAAATAATGCAGTGTACAGCCCTAATGGACAAAGACTTAAAAAATACAGCTCTCGTGTGTTTATCAACACTTACAAAATTAACAATAATTCCTTTACATTATTTAATATTTAGTCCATATTCCTATTTCTCCAGTTGTCTCAAAATGTGTATTTTACAATTGAAATCTATAGATTGCTTTTTGTTAAGTCTCTTAAGTTTTTTAAACTGCTATGTTCCCCTTGCCCCGCTTTCTTTTTACCCTTGCAACTTCTAATTTTGGGGTAGTGTGGAAGATACTGGATCACTTGTCCTGTGGCGTGGCCTGCTTTCTAGATCACGTTGACCACTTCATATTGTCAATTATTTTGTTTCTCTATCCTTGTGTTTCCTGTCAACTGATCATAGATCTAGAAGTCTGATTAGATTGGAGTTCATCATTATCTTCCTAATGAGGATACTTCTGAGGTGTGCTTGGGACTCCCTACTGCACCCCATTATAAGATGCCTCATGTCTGGCTGTCCTGAGTGTAAACACGAGATGCTCAGGTTAGTACCTGTGCTCAGGTGGTATAAGGGTGTTCTTCCTTTATGAAGTTTCCCAGTGACCTTCCCCCTGACGGTTGCTGCCTACATGACACGGGCCGTTTTTAATCAAGCTACCTGGGCACACTAAAATTGCGAATCATTGGTTTAAATATTTTCCCAACTCCTTCTCAGTTCCTGGACCCCCAGAGAAATGGAGGTCCTAGCTGTGCCACTGAAGGTTGTGTGACCCTGGGCATTTTGACTGGGTGGCCCTATCTGGGCTTCATTTTTTTTCTTCTTTTGAACAGGCATGGACAGGACGATCTCTAAGGACCCTCTTCCCTGCAAAAGTTTTACTCAGGGTGTCATCAGAAACTGATAAACCTTGGTGAGAAATGATGGGCAATTCAGCAGTCGAGATTCACCCATTGTTACAACCCCAAGAGCTCACTTGTCTGTTATCAGAGTGACTCCTAATCCGGAAATCAGGACCTGCCGAGAGTCCCCAGTGAGGAACTGCCTGCCACAGGGATTCTGGCAGATACAGTGCTCACTCACCACTGCCAGAGAGGCTCTGCTGGGAAGGCTGAAATGTCAGGTTTTCAGTTGAATCTCTGCTCCACCACCATCCTGTCTGTGTCCTTGGATGTGTTCTTTTGTCTTTGAGAGTCTTAGTCACCACCTCCCATTCCCAGGACAATACAAACTACCCTGCCTACCTAATAAGGTCCTTGAGAAAGTCAGAGGAGCAAAGACATGAAGAAGTATTTTGTACACTATAAACTGTTTACTGAAGGGAGGGAACAACCTGAATGATAACCAGTAGGAAAAGGATTAAGTAAATCCATGGCGTAGGTCCGTGCCAGGGAACATCGTGAGCCTCCAAAGGTGAGGAGGGGGATTTCTATGTCCAGACGTGGAAAGAAATTCAAAGTATATTGTTAGGTGAAAGAGCAGATCGCCAGTAACTGTTTTAATGAATGTACGAGGACATACACAATGAAAAGTGTTTTTCCATTCCCATACTCATATCCAAGTGCACCAGAGAAGAGACGTCCAGAGGACCTTGACTAACTGGGTAGCAGTGATTGCCTCTTGGATGGAGCTATGTGTTGTTTGATAGTTTGCAATAAGAAGTTTGCAATAAGACAGTCTGATTGTTTGAGTACCTTTGCATATTCATTTAGAACCTGTGCGACCAGATACAAAGGAAGGACAGGTGAGGACTGTGGTTGCCGTGGTGGTGTTTGTTGTGAATGATCGCTAACTACTGTGACACCGTGGGTACTACCTTCCCCAGGCCGCATGCGTCCTCAGCCAGGCGTTTGGGCAGGTCTCCAGGCTGTACATCATGGCCTCTCCGTAGTTCACAAATGTCTTTTGCAGTCTGCAGAAAGGACAAGACACGTCTGACTTAGAGCACTTGTGTTAAAAGTACAGTTTGCTCCCACGGTGAGCAGTCATCGTGTATTTGTGTGTGAACGTGGAGCATCCCGGGTATTTTCTGGTAACGATATTACCGACATATTTTGTAACAGGGTACTTTTAAGACTTTGAGGAGTCTGCCTTTTTTATTTTTTAATAGTAGTTTGTTTAAAAAAAACCACATTAATATTTAAGTGGATTTTTAGAAAGTAAACCCGGAAAGAGGGGATGTGAGAGGTGAGAGGCATGCACTCCTGGCTGGGCAGTGAGGCTGGGGGAGGAAGTAGGGAGGCAGGCCTCTGGGTTTCTGGGCTTACATCACTCCTTCCAGCGGCTGAGGGTGTTGGGACATTTGGGAGGCCTGTCCCCGACCAGATCCCACACAAAGGCGATACTCAGGCTCCTGCCCAGCAGCCTGTCTCTTCCCCGGGCCGCCCTTCCTCAGGGCGGGGAAGGCCCTGCGGAGGAACTGCCTACGAGGCAGTGAGAGCGCTCGGGCTGCTGAGGCCCCGACCCCCGGTGTTCACTGTAGGGGGAGGGGGGGAGGAGAAGCTCCCCAGACTTGACACAAGGCCAGGATTTGGCTCCAGACACGCTCTCCAGGGACCTGGGAGACCTTGCGTGAGTCTCCAGCCTCAGTTTTTTTTCCCCCAGGCACGGTCTGGGTCTGGGGGGAGGAGACGGTAAGACGCGGATGTGACGCTGTGTTGGGAAGGTGACATAATCCTTCTATTTTTATTATTACTCACTGTGCTTGGCGTTTCAAATATAAGGGGGGCCACACTGCATGGGACTGGCATGTATATTAGTCTGAGGATTACAAACTCAAAAGCTGTGGGGTCCAGAGCGACATCAGTGATGTGGTCGGAGGGCCCGGGTGTGAGATGATGAGAGCGGAGGCGAGCCAGGCCAACCCTCCGGGGCACTTCCTGTCCTAGAAGGGGTCACGGGGACTTGGCGCCAGCTGGGTGATAACAGAATGAAGCCCCTGATTGCCTCACTGGCAAGAAGGTGATGAAGGCTTTTTTTAAATATGAAATGTCTATGTTTTTAGACCTAGGCTCAAATAAAACAAAGCAAAAATTGTGGAAGTTCCCTAAAACATATCTGAAGGCCATAGTCAGCTCTTAGGCTATCAATCTGTAACTTCTGCATTAGGGGGGAAAAGTCACAAAAAAAATCAGGAGGTTACCATGAATGACACAGATATTAGAAGTCTACTCAGTGATATAATGGTTCCAGCAGTCATGATGGAAGAAAAGATTTGAAATTGGTTTCAGTGGAATCAGAGAGGTAAAACGGGGATAATAATAGGGGGTAAAATTGCTTATCTGTAAAATGGGGATAATAATAGTACCATAGAGGTTTACTATAGGGAGTAAATAAGAGGAGGCTTGCGAAGCTCTCACCATGTGCCTGGTACAGTGGAATTGTGCAATAAATTTAATTGTCGAATGAGTAAGTGCTCTTTTAGTGTTTTGTGAGCTGGAAAGTGCGCCACAGGTTAGGCGTGACTGATACACTCTCCAGATACACCTGTTTGGGTTGATACACTGGCTTTGTGAGCAGTTTCATTCACTATCTCTAGTTGGAGTTGGAAGGCCTTTCTGCACATCTCTGAGGACCAGTTCATGCCTCAGGGAACAGCCGAGTGCTATGGATAGGGAGCCCCCAGGCGGTGGGCTATGAGAAATGACCAAGCACCCGTGAACTGATAGTTTACAAATATGAAACTCAAGCATTGTTCGTTTTCACTACCTTTGTCTTTTCTTTGCATTGAAGTTTCAAAAATATAAACACTGAGTATCAGATGCATGCTTTATTAAGGACGGAAGTCATTGTGAACTAGGCGTTTCATTGCTATTTTTTTTTTTTTTACTTTTACTAAATTGTCCCCTGAAAGGTTTATCTGGAACAAAAGAAATTAGCCTTACGAGATGTGTGTGTTGGAGGTGGGAGAGGCTGAGTGGAGAGAGTAAGAGGAAGGGAAAATCCCTAAGTTTCTCGCATGTACACGGCGGTTTATAGAGCATGTTTGAATTTTTTTATCAGTTTGATCTTTCTAGGTTCAGAGATGCAGGAACCTGACAGTGTTGTCCAGCTAGTTAGCAGCAGAGTTGGGCCTGAACCTCGGAGTTCCCAGGTGAGGTGCTTTATCACCGCCTCTGTAGAATCTAGAAGAGCAGGGGTGGCGGCCTGAAGGGATGGCCAGGTAATTGGGTCACTCATCAAAGGAAACTCAACACACCTTCAGACAGGGCTTGGCACTGGGGTGAGAGAGAAGCAAGGCTCTCACCTCTGACTGAGGTGATGCGCGCAGTTCAGGAGGATGACCATGCAGTGTACAGTGAGGACCCCGATGGTCAGCAGGCCGATAGGACCAACCTGGAGGGCAGAGGAAGGGTGGAGGATGGTTAGCCACAAACTGATTGCTCCTGCGCCTGGCCCTCGCCCAGTCTGGAAGCTGGGACCCGTCTCAGAATGAAGCAGCCTTTGGGATGAGAGCCCCTGCCTGAATGTCCCTGTGTGTCTGTAACCCAGTGCAGGTCTGTCTGCCCACTGCTGCGAAAGCCAACACTTGAGAGGCAGGTGCTGATGTGAAGGAAAGTGGCTTATTCAGATACTGGCCACCTGGGATAAGGGGGACTCATGTCATAAAGCCCATCTCCTGGGAAGATGGGGGACTCAAGTCTCAAAGCTTATCTTCCCATCTCAGCAGAGGCAGAGGTTTTTATGAGGAGGGAGGGGGAATAGAACGAAGAGATCAAGGAAGGGGTTGAATAGTTCTCTGAGTGCAGGTGAGCACAGTCTATTCCAATAAGGCAAGCGATGGTCCTGTGTGCGTCACCCTGGTTTAGCCATCCAGGCTTCATGTCATCCTGACGCCATGGATGATGGTCAGCAAATGTCTCCGAGATGGGATGCTTGAAGATCGAAGGCTATCTTTTGAAACTAGTTCCTAGGATTTTTATACAAACATGCTGTTCGTGGACAAGTTACATATTAGTCAGAGTCAGCACTTTCAGAAACAATGTCAAAAGAATGATGAGGGTGGGTTACAATATCCCACTGTTACATCTGCAGATGCTCCAGCTTAAATGCCCTTCTTAGCATCACTGCAAAGTGATTGTCCAACCTCTGCTAGGATGCTTCCAGTGACAGAGCACTCACTACCTCCCCAGTCTTAGGAACTTTTTTTCCCCCAGCACCAGGATGTCAACAGAGGACTGATGACATTTTGGGCCAGGCGATTCTTTGTTGTAGAGGCTGTTCCGTGTGCTTCAGGATGTTTAGCAGCCTCCCGTGGCCTTTACTCCCCAGGTGTTGGTGGCATGCCACCCCCGACACAAGTTGTGACAAACAGGAGTATCTGACATCGTCATTGTCTTTGTGCGGGGTGAAAAATCGTTCTCAGTTGAGAATCACTGCTCTAGTGCGTCTAACTTGTCAATTATTTTTGTCAATTATTAGTCAATTTATTTTTTGATAAAAATTGTATATGTTTAAGGTGTACAACATAGTGATTTGATATACATATACATAATGAAGTAATTACAAATGAACATATCTTCTCATATAGTTTCCATTTTTTTGTATGTGGGAAGAGATTCAAAAGCAGGACTCATTATTAATCGTAATCTCCCAGACGTGATCAGTTGGCATAGAGTAAAGAGGGTCTCTCTCACCTCCTTTGTTCTGGACACTCATGCCTTTATAGACATGACCCGAGATAATACTATCTCTCATAAGGAAACAGATGAGAGATCAAGAGTGTCACTGGGTTTCACTAGACGTAGCCTCCATACGGCAGAGACCTGGTCTCATTTACTTCCACATTCCCAGGACCTCAGCACACACACAACAGGTGCTCAATATGACTCCTCCAGGGAGTCGCGGTCAGAGGTCCTGGCAGGAGGCGGGGTTAGAGAAGTCATCTAACGACTCCTAGGAAGCACAAATCAAAGGAAAGAAGAGCCGGCCGAAGCAGCAACTACCACACTGGCAAAGACAGCCTGGCTGAAGGCCACGCGGCAGGAAGTCCTAGAACCCTGAGAATTCCAGAGGGGAGAGCCCCGTCTCTGGGTGAGAGCTACCACAGATTGGAAGCCACGACAGGAGCCAAGGTCTCCATATGCCTCCTTTAGGCACAGGGACCACTTACTGGCCTGGAGACAAGGAGAAACTCACTTTGGTCAAATGGAAGTCATCTGTTTGGCCTCAGTTCGATTCGGCAGACGTGTATGGGGATGCCCGTGTGCTGCTAGCGTCTCCAGTAGGGGCTGTCGGGAGGTGTTCAGATAACTCTGAGCTCCTGCCCTCAGAGCTTTCAGGTAAGCAAAGAAGATAGGAATATTAAAAAAGAAGTGTGTCTCATCTTTGTAAGTGCTGTAAGAATTCCAGGTGAGGTACATGTAAGTTCCAGAAAATCAGAGGGTGAAGGCGCCATTCATGGTAGTAGGAAACATTCAGGTTTTATAGAGGAGGGAGAAGAGAATGGCAAGAAAAGACAGGTGGGTGGCCGGGAGTGTGGGGCTGGAGGAGATGCCATCCTCATCCTCCAAGCCACTTTCTCAGCATCAGTCAAATGGGCTGAAATAGAAGCCACACATTCCACACAGCCGCAGGGACCAAGCTGCTAATGGAAAGGAGTGAACTGGGCTGGATGTGATCTTGGGGAGTTGCGGGGTGGGGGGCACTCTAGCAAAGTGGATTATGTGTCTGTCTGGGAGGGCGGTGGGCCTTTAAGAATGATGGAGGGGTGGTGGGAGAATTGAACGGAGGTGGTCAGAAGGTGCAGACTTCCAGCTCTGAGGTAAATAGGTCCTGGGAAGTAATGTACAGCATGAAGTTAACACTGCGTGTGGTATGTTTGAGAGCTGCAAAGTAGATCCTAAAAGTTCTCATCTTAAGGGAAAAAGGTTTGTGTAACTGTATGAGGATGGATGTTAGCTCAATTTATTGATTGTGCTAATCATTTTGCAATATCTGTAAGTCAAGTCATTATGTGGTATGCGTTCGACTTATATAGAGCTGCATGCCAATTTCATCTCAATAAAACTGGGGAAAGAGGAATGTTTCATCTCTTCCAGGCACATTCTACTTGGCTCCAGGTTGGCTCCTGAGGATTGATGCCTGCAAACACCTTTGCTGTTACAGAGGGTACCCCCAAATTGTCCATTGATAAACAGTGCAAAGGCCTTGGGGACCCACCACTCCATTCCCCCAACTGGGTAAAACTAGTTCTCACCACCACATCCCTCTTACCAATATGCCTGCATTTTTCATGGCCAGGGGAAGCCCCAGGAGCCCCGTGCCAATGTTGCATTTCCATAAATGGATCAAGGTTTGCATCATCCTGTGTGGGGAGAGCAGGAGACAAGAGGGCGTGTTAGTGGAGGGGGAGGGCGGACCGCAAAGTTCAGCCTCCTTCCTGCAGCTCCAGCACCTTCTGCTGGGAGGAGTGACCAAACCTGATGAAGTGCACTCTGGTTTAATGCTCAGGTCCCGGGATCTGTCCTGGAGCATTGGACCCAGGGCTGGTGCTAGTTCAGCTAGCTCGGCGAATGTTCCACATGCACTAAGCTTTAAAGAAACAGTTGCTAACAATTGCTACCATCTGGAGAACTCCCTAGTACCAATTCGTTCATTAACTCATCCAACAGTTTCATTCATGGTTTATTCACTCAAATTATATTTATTGAGACCTACTAGGAGAGGCATTTAGATAGACAGTGAAGAAAGTCAATTTTCTCAATTTATAGAGTATTATTGGTGCCAAGTCGTTGATTAATTCACTCCCTAGAAAAAACAATCTCCCACTACATATGGAGTATTTACTGGTTCTTGTTCCATTTACTGGTACTTTCATCTACTTACTCAACCAATATTCATTGCAAACTTATTCCATGCTATGTGTTGGATAAAATTTAAAAACATTGCTACAGTACACGCAGAGTGCTTACTTTGTGCCCGGCAGGGGGGCTCGGTGCCAAGGTTCTGAGTATACCCACCTGGGCTGGCAGCTCTGATCCACTGGGGAGAGGGAAGGTGGGGACAGGATGATAAGAGGAGAATCAAAAAGGACCTGAAGTGAAGAGCTGGGTGCAAAGGCACTGAACCCAGAGGTGAGAAGCACTGGATTCCAAGGCCTAGCTCTGCCATTAACCTACTGTGTTTGGTCACTACTTTGGGAAGGCCCTTAACTGCTGACAGCTTCTGTTTCTTCATCTGCTGAAAGAAAAAGCCAAAATAATTCTTGCCCTGCCTACCTCCCGGCGTCGTGGTATGAATCAGAAGGAGTAATGAAATGATGACTTGGAACCGTGAACTGCTTCTCAGATGTGAGGCATCGTTGTTGCCATCGTCGTTAGCATCATCATTATCATTATCATTATCACCATCATCACCATCACCATTTTCATTGCATCATCATTACGCCCACCTTTGGTTTAGCCTTGTGGTGCTCACCTGTTAGAAAGGGCCTCTGTGAAGAGGAAGCAGAGCTGTGCTGATGGCCAAAAGGTGAGCAAGGGCTGGTTTAAGCAAACAGAGGTGCCCCTTCCCCCTCAAGGAACTACAGAGCCCCTCTGGGCAGTCTTTGGACTGTCTGGAGGCAGCCGGGAAGGTGGACATAAACTGACCAAGGTCACACGACAAGTCCTGCAGAGATGTCTCTGTCCTGCTGTGGAGTGTTTCACATTCCAATGCCTGCCTGGGAGAGGGTGGGGTCCTGAGGGCAAGGTGGGCCCCTGAGACTTCTCTGTTAGCTCGGTCTACATACCTAAGCATGAGGGTACCCGTGGTCCCTTCACTTCTAAGAAATAATGTTTTTTTTCTTGATAACTGGAATCATTGGAAAATACATCAAAGCTAAATTCTTAAAAAGTTTTGTCAATTCTTTGATGTCAATTTTACTGAAAGACATGCTCTTTCTTCCTTCTTCCTGCCTTCTCCCCTCCTTTCTGACGGCAGGGTGTGATCCTGCTTGAGTCGGATTTCTTGGAAAAGGCAACACGTGGTTTTGGAGAAACCATTGAACTTGGCCAACAGCATCATAGATCAGGGCCTTAGCAAGTGAAACACATGTGAGGAACTCCTGGGAAATTTACAAATTTTAATATTTATATTTTTTCCTTGAAAAACATCACATTGCTATTATAAAAGGAAATTCAAAATTTCACCAAATAGGAATAATCACCTTTAACATTTTGATTAACATTCTTCTGGGATCCCGATTTACTTTTAAATGCACATGATTTTACACAAGGAGAATTATGGTAATAGTGTATCCTAAACTAATTTTCTTTATGAATAGTATGTCCCATACATTCTTCCATAACCATAGATTTTCTTCATCACTCGTAATGGCTGTGTTATATTCTACTGGATGTGGGTACCATACTTTATTTAAATAATCTGTTGTTGTGCCTGAATTTTATAATCAGTACTTCAAATAGATCATCATACATACCTATGTTATCTCATCAGGAAAAATTCCTAGAAGTGGTATTATTTTGCTCAAATAAGGATCAATTATTTTGATCTGATTCTCAAGGTCCCACCTTTCATCCCTTCATCTCCTATTCGGTGGGGATATATTTGTATTTAATTATACTAAAAAAACCCCCTAAGTAACACAGCATGAAATTCAAAAGACAAAAATAAGAACCAAAAACTCTTATATAGTGAATACAAATCTCTCAGTCTCTCAATTCTCTTCCCAGAAGGGGTGACTATTGCCAGTTTGTGTGTGTGTGTGTGTGTGTGTGTGTAGTTTCAAAGGAAACACATGCCAAAAAGTATTTGTATGTTTTATATAAATATACATTAAGATTTGCAATACATTACAGCATTGCCCTCTAAAAGGTATCAATTTCATTTTTTCCCAAAGGGATGGGAGAAGGGGCATTTCTTGGCACCCATGTCAACTCTGGCTATTGTGATTTGCAATCTCATGGTGCCTGTGGCTAATACCTGATTATTAGGTAACAGTCTGGTTGGCAATAAAGTCCTAAGCAAATGTCCCACATTTCCGAATCTATAGCAGTAGTAGTAGGGACATGGGGCTAAGAGACGACCTTTTGTTTCCTGGATGGGTTTGTTGTTGGGACGGAGGGAGGAAGGGAGAGAGAGACAGAGAGGAAGAGAAGGATAGCAAACGTAGGAAGCAGCCTGAAACTGGGGCACGAGGAGCGGCCAGCCTAAGATACAACACTGTGCCTGGAGTCAGGAAGCTCTCACTGGGGTTGGCTATTCTATCTGGGTTCTTTGCAAAAGCTGGACAACAGGGGTAACACCCAGAGCCACACGGATCAAACTTCTCTGATTCTGAAGGTCCCGCCTTTCATCCCTGCATCTCCTATTCAGTGGGGATAAGTGTGTAAAGAGAAGTAGGGAGACGTGGCCCAGAGTTGTTAGGGCCACAGTGCTTGACCTCAGATCCGGAAGGGCAGTGTAGTCACTTACGACAATCTATTGGCTTCCTCAGCAGGATAGACATCCTCTGAACTGGTGTCACTGCTACCCTTGGAGACGAACTTGGACCCGTCATCCAGGGAGCTGGACTCACTACTGTCGTCCCTTCCAAGCAATGACGTCTTCGACATAGTGCGTCAGTGGCAGTGGCTCAGGGTGAAGGCCTGTAGCAGCCTCGAGCCAGCCTTCCATGGGCTTTTCTCCAGAGAAACTGGCACTGGAGAGCAGGGGAAGCTGGTGCTGACTGTGCCTCACCTGGCTTTTGGGGGACTTACGAATGTCTCATCTCAATGTCCCTTGCATTTGATTGGCCACATGTCAGGACTTGCCTGGACTTTCAGCCCCTCCCAGTTCAGCCCTTAGTGCTACAGGACAAAGTGAACCGTGTGACTGGAAGGAAGAAGGTACCATTGGACTGGAGGTCCTGGTGCCTGGATGTGGGCCAGGCTCAGTGCTCTGCCACCTCTGGCAAGGAGGAAACCAGAGCTACCTCACAATGGAGGCTGCCCAGCCAATAAGGTGCTGCAGAATCCCAGGATGCAGGGTGGCCCAACAGAGGGTGATCAGGCTGCCCCTTCTGGGGGTGGGGGTGAAGCTTGGCTTTTAATGCCCGGTTTATATGCCACTTGCTGAGAATGTCTGTGCAGGAGGAGTGTATGGCTGCCTCCTATTTGAAAGGGAGTGCGAGTAAGCTTAGAAAAAGTTATTTATTCAACAAATATTTATTGAGCAGCTAGTATGCAGCGGTATAAAAGTAGGTTTATGTTATGAGTATGTGAAAATTTATTCTTGTATTATTTATTATTGTATTTGTGATTATTATTAACCTACTTTTTCCCACCCCTGCATTCTAGGCACTGTTCTCCATACTGGGAGCATACCCTGTGTATGTTTTGGGTAAGAAACTTAAAAGCAGGGGCAGGAGTAAGTGCAAAGGTCCTGAGGCAGGAGCGCGCCTGGGGTATTTCAGGAGTGATAAGGTCAAGTGGCTGGCTCAGTGTGCATTGGACAGGGGAGCTGAGCAGAGGGGCCCATGTCTGGTTTTCCCAGGATTATGTTTGTTGCCCTGGCACAATTAATAATTAGTAATCATTAACACTGCCTCTTTTCATGATCAAAAGTACCCTGGCTTGAAGGATAATTACATGATCACACCAGAGATGCTGTTCTTGTGAGTGGAAGAAAGAAAAAATGGATGGAATGGAGTGGGCAGGAACTTGCAGGCCACTGGAATTCCTTTGGTCTTTACTGAGGGTTTTGAGTGGAGAAGCGACATGTCTTGGATTTTAATAGGGTCTCTGTGGCCATTTTGTTGGTGGCAGATTGAAGGTGGGTGAGATGGAAGCAGCAGGAGGCTGTTACAATAAGCTGGGAGGTGACTACAATGCCCCAGGTCAGCAGTGGGTAACACCAGGGTGGCAGCTACAGGGGTGGCGATACGTGACTGAAGCTTGCATATGTGTAAAGCAAAAGCCAAGAGGATGTGCTGATGGACTTGGTGTGAGGTGTAGAGGAAAGACAGGTCAGAAGTGACTCCAGGGTTTTTGGTGTAACAGAATGGATGGGACTGGCAGGAACAAAGTCTGGTCTCAAAGATGCCTTTGCAAAGCCAAGCCAGGCACACTGTCCTTTGACCATAGGTTTTATTTGTGGTGGTCTGGACAGGTCACTTATGAAGATTATGGCGGGGGGACAAAAGTGCTCCCAATGTCAACCCTTGGTAATGCTCCCTAACCAACTCTGTGAGCCTCTTCCATCTCCTGAATATCAGATGAGAGCTTTCCCTTCTCTGATGCCCTAACGCCTTTCCTCAAGTTGAAAATCATTTCTCCTCCCTAATGCATTTATTCATTGCTTTACTACTCAGCAGTGATACCTGCTCTGTGTTAGGCAGGCACTGCAGACTCAGCAATGGACGCTTTCAAGGAGTCTGCACTTTAGTAGGAGGTAGGAAGATGGCGATAAACAAGAAACAATAAGACGGTGATAGATCATAATCAATGCCATGCTCATCTCAAAACAAAATAATCACAAAACTACGAAAGTGAGCATCGCCGTCATCCAGAGAGAACAGCTGTGGACATTTTAATAGGCTTCATTCACACACGTGTTCCACCACAGACCTGATGAGTGATACAGCTTTTTAAAAAATTCCGAGGCCCTGGCCGGATTGCTCAGCTGGTTTGAGCATTGTCCTGATACATGAAGTTGTGGGTTCAATCCCCAGTCAGGGCATTGAATACAAGAATCAACCAATGAATGCATAAATAAGTGGATCAACAAATCGATGCTTCTTTCTCTCTCTCTAAATCAATAAATAAAAAGCCACTTTTTTTTTTATTACAACTACATTGTTTTGTTCTTCCTGTGTTGTATTTCCCCCCCTCTGATCACCACCATTCAGGGGCCTTTCTTGGACTCTGCAGTGTAGGGAGGAGGGAGCGTCGGTGCCCAAATGTCTGAGTCCTGGACCATCTGTCATTACATGGTCAATGGTCAATAACAGTTGTGGTAAATAACACAAAACTTACCATCTTAACCATTTTTTAAAAAATTTATTTATTTATCTCTAGAGAGGAAGGAAAGGAGAGAAGGAGAGAAATATCAATGTGTGGTTGCCTTTCGTGAGTCCCCTGCTGGGGACTGGCCTGCAACCCAGGCATGTGCCCTGACTGGGAATTGAACCGTGATTGTGTGGTTCGCAGGCCCGCGCTCAATTCACTGAGCTACACCAGCCAGGGCCCATCTTAACCATTTTTGAGTGTGCCATTCAGTAGTATTAACACATCCACCATTGCCCTGGACAGGTGGCTCAGTTGCTTGGAGGCTTGGAGCGCTGTCCCGTACAACAAAAGGTTGCGGGTTCGATCCCCGGTTGGGGCACGTGTGGGAGGCGATGGATCAATGTTTCTCACATCGCTGTTTCTCTGTCTCCCTCTCTCTCTAAAATCAATAAATATATCCTTGTGAGGATTTGTAAAAAGCCTCAATGTGCTGCGAGGTTCTAGTTGCTGTGATTTTTGTTTAAGGTCCTTGCTTTTTTACATTTGGCCATAGTTTTGGGGTGCGCTTTGTTAGATTTGGTATCAGAATCAGGGCACCTATGTATGAAAAGTGCAGATGACTCACTCCTGTCTGTGTCTGCGAAGAACTTAAATGGCATCAGGCAACGGCACTGATGGCTTTGCTCCCGGCTCCCCATGCCGTCTCCGAACCCCACGTCCACTTACCGATTCCTTAGTCATAAAGGGAGGTTATTGGGTTTCTAATGTTACACATGTGTAACCCACTGGACACCATTTTCCTGTCCCCCCCCCACTTTGACCCCCACCATTCGAAGGTCTTCCGTGGCTGTGCGATGGAGGGAGGAGGGTTGGCGCACAGGTCATCTCCTGTTTGATGGTCAGCATGTTACTTAATATCTCTGAGCCTGTCTCCCTGTCTGAAAGTGGGGAGTTCACAGAAATGTCGTCAGGAACGAACGAGGTAATCCTACAAAAAACAGTAAGTGTTCAATGAGGGAAGGAAGGGTTTTCTAAGATCCTTGACTTAATAGCAAGCTCCAAAAGATAAAGAATCAGTAAGTTAAATGGAGGAGGGCAGTATTTGTGTAAAACCCAGAACCAGATAATTAAACATTAAGATCCTCCAGGCTGCTGTAGCTCAGTGGATTGAGCACCAGCCAGAACCAAAGGGTTGCTGGTTTCATTCCCAGTCAGGGCACATGCCTGGGTTGCAGGCCAGGTCCCCAGTAGGGGACACGTGAGAAGCAACCACACATTGATGTTTCTCTCCCTCTCTTGCTCACTCTTTCTTTCTCCCTTCCTCTCTCTAAAAATAAATAAAATCTTTAAAAAAATTTAATATCCTTAACAGTCACAGTTCTAACGGTTGGCAGTCTTTCGTGTTGCTGGCAGTTACTAATGAGTCTCCCTAGCTTGCTTTTATGGGTTACAACAGTATTGATAAACTTATTTTTTTCTTTCCAAGATTTTAGTTTATCTAGATTGGTTCAATAATAAGATTAACTTGGTAATTTTGTGCAGCAGGGTTTTGTCCTTGGAGAATGAGGAATGAGCGTGACCACTTTTTAGTAACAGAGACCATGTTGAACTTAGCAAAAATGAATGGGATGCCAGTGGAGCAGGGTGAGAGAGACAGACTCAGGGAGGACGATGGCTTTGCCAAGGCTCTGACTGATCGGCGGAAGTTTTTTGGGTCTGCTGATGAAACAGAAAAGTGGGAGGGGGGGTGGGAGTGATAAGCCACCATCTGGCTAGGTGGGCTGTGGACCACTGCACAGGCTGAGTGTCCCCTCTCCTGGTAGGTACTCTACAGACCATGGGATCTGGGCATGGTCAGGCAGTCCATCTCCTACCTGAGCACCCCCACCTGAAGTACCTTCTAAAAATCCAACAGGTGGAAAGTAACAGAAAAGGAGCAGATCAGGACTTGGGAATTGAGGCAGACACGTACTCCCCCACTGCACCCCTCAATCTTCCCTAGGCTGATAGGGAGCTTGATGGTTGAAAATAAGCAGAAAGGGCCTTTTTTAAATGTTTTAAAACTGAGGCTGAAAGGAACGTGGGTCATTCTCACAGAGACTGCCATGGAGAGTATGATGAGAATCTCCCTCCTCTTGGACTGCAGATCTGCATTCTATCTACTCAGTTATTCGGGGGCACTGTCCCAATTTTAGTAGCTTTAGGGGGGAAGGAGCAAATACCACCAGGAAGGCTGAGGTGGTGTCTCGGGCTGACTGGCCTCTGGCCAAGGTCATGAGAGAGGGCACTAGACCATCAAGGCGGCAGGACTGAGTTCCCTGCTGGGAGACCCATTCTCAATGGCACCACCTGCAGAATGTCATTGTTAGGACTCCAGAGCAGTCAGTGTCCCCTGCCCTTACGAGGACCTGTGATGAGTTGCTTTCCTGCCATTTTCCCCCAGAGGACAGTGGACCAGCTTCTTGAGGGGCAGGATTCCTTTTTCACTCACTGGTGTATGTCCATTAGAGTGATGTATTAGTTAACTTCTGCTGCATAAAAACTCCCACACCTTATGGCTTAAAAACCACAAACATTTATTATTTTCTCACAATTCTCTGGATTATCTGGTCAATTCATATGGTCTG